CGTGATTGTCGATTATAGATTCCCGGCATTATAATTTATCCGATCCGTTCTACTAAATAATATCTATCGGATATGGATATAGTCATCCGGATCGCTACTCTAGCACAGAATGCAGGAGTGTATCTTGTAACTTTATATTAATAGACAATGTATTTTATTTATCTTGTTTATTTTAGGTATATGTAGGCATAGTACAAGCAATAAAGCATATTTACTCTCAAGAGGGGATAAAAGGATTTTACCGAGGAATTTCTGTATCCGTAATGCAAATTATTCCTTATATGGGTCTAATGTTTGGTAGTTATGAGATATTCAAGAAATCGTTTCGAAACCTTGAGGTAAGATTGTTGTGTATTTATATGTATTATTATTTTCCTAATTATTTTTATTCGTCTTTCAAATAGGAAAAGAGTTTATGGTTCAGTAATTTAAAAGGTACTGAAGATTTTTTTAGTGGCGCATTAGCCGGAATGTTTAGCAAAACTGGAATATTTCCACTTGATTTGTTAAGAAAACGGTTACAAATTCAAGGTCCCAATCGATCAAAGTATATAATCAAGAATATTCCAGCTTATTCTAGTTCTATATATTCTTGTATACGGCAAATAATTGTTGCTGAAGGATTTTTTGGGCTTTACAAAGGTCTAACCCCTGCATTGTTAAAATCTGCGCCAGTTAGTGCTACGACGTTTTTTGTTTATGGACAAACAAAAAAATTATTAGAAAGTTTACATAAGATATCCTCGTAATATTTGTAAAAATAATTGGATTAGTTTTAGTAGTTAAAATTTAATTGTAAATTTTGTCTGCTCTAGCTTATTGTGAATTTTAATATTAAACTTTACTAACTTTTAGTTTGTTATATAAAAAAAATGCAAAAAGATATTTTATTATTGTAGATATTTTTTAAATATTTAGATATCAAGTTAAAAATTATATAAAAAAGTATTAAATCTAAAGTTTTTAAATAAAAAATTATAATTTTTTTTAAAAAAAATTACTTTGTTTTACTACTAGTGATTATTACTAGTAATTTATAATAATTAAAATTAAATTTTTATTAAAGTAAAAATTAATTTTTTTAATAGATATGGTGACTTAATAAAGTGGTAAAGTTGTTATACCCCAAGTAGTATATCTAGGATTTGAATCTTACTAGTAATAAAATTTGAATATTTTGTTGTAAACTGGTTATTGTTTTTTATTAATTAGTTAAATTTAGAATCTGTAATCAAAATTGTACCAGATATCTGAAGGGATTAAGTATTTATACAATATATAAGTTATGCAAATTGATATTAGTTAGTGCAAACTCATAATAAATTCTAATAATAGTATAAAACTAAAAAATCAGAAAGATAATACCTATTTAGTAAATTTTGAGTAGAGAAATAATACAAATTTTTAATAATATACTTGACCCCATTAATATCAATCTCATTAATATCAACCTCCCATTAATATCAACCTCTTATTAAGACAAAATAGGCTCAGGGTATATAAAAACTATCTTGATATTATCAACCTTCATATATATCAACATAATTGTCTAATCCAAATGGGTTGATATTAAGGGTAGAGTGTATGTTAATCATTTATCATATGATCTCAGTGGTACAACGGGATTTTATGCATAAATTAAAATACGTCACTAGTAAAAGTTCTCA